AGAAGAGTGAAGTCCTAGATATATTTGTGGAGTAGAATAAGATGTTGGAATTGCAGACTAGGAGAAAGATCAAGACATTACGATCTGACAACGGTGATGAGTACACATCAGACCCCTTTCAGCAGCTATGTTGAAACGAGGGCATAAAGAGACAATTCACAGTTAGTCATACACTAAAGTAGAATGAGGGTGACAGAGAGGTTAAATCGGACTTTACTGGAGAAAATTCGATGTTTGTTGGCGCATAGTGGTTTAGAGAAGATCTTTTGAGCTGAGACACTTTCATATACGAGCCACCTCATTAACAGGCTGCCTTCATCTGCGATTGAGGGGAAGACCCCTATAGAGATATGGTCGGGAGAGCCAGCACATAACTATGACCAGCTCAAGGTATTTGGGTGCCCTGCATACTATCATGTTAAGACTGATAAGTTAGAACCTCGAGTTAGGAAGACCATATTTGTAGGATTCAAGCATGGTGTCAAGGGATATAAGCTATGAGATCCAGTTGATAGGAAGATTGTGCTGAGTAGAGATGTCACTTTTGATGAGACTTCAATTTTGAAGCTTCCCAACTCTCATCAGGTGGAGAGCACCTCGACGGAGGAGATATCACAGATGGTAGAGATCGATGCAGCTCCACATTATCCAGATGGTACAATATCCATTAGAATGCCGACTGAGGTGACGCCAAGCGAGCACAGCGACGACGAGGAGAATACGTGTACAGATGTGTAGGATCAGGGACTGACGGCTTAGGTTCAGGATTCTATTACGGTTCGGAGACAGAGGAGAGACATACGGATGCCAACACGGTATACTGACACAGTAGTTACATATGCACTTCCGGCGGAGAGTATCAATGAATTGGTGCATACTACTTTCAGAGAGGCCGAGTAGAGTTCGGAGACCGATTCGTGGTAGGTAACTATGCAGGAAGAGATGGACTCTCTTCATAAGAACGATACATGGAAGCTTGTTGATCTTTCAAAGGGGGCGGAAGGCAATTGATTGCAAGTAGGTATACACGAAGAATGAGGGTATTGAAGGCACTCTAGTGAGGTTCAAGACTAGGTTGGTTGCAAAGGGCTATGCACAGGAGGAAGGTATTGATTATAATGAGGTTTTCTCTCTGGTGGTGAAGCACTTTTCAATTCGGATTTTGCTAGCTTTGGTGGCACAATATGGTTTGGAGTTAGATCAGTTGAATATGAAGACGACATTTCTTTATAGTGTTCTTGATGAAAAAATATATATGACTCAGTCATTAGGATTTCGAGTTGCAGGGAAGGATAAGTTGGTTTGTAGATTGAAGAAATCGCTATACAGTTTGAAGCAGTCTCCTCGACAGTGGTATAGACGATTCGATCGATTTATGATCGGTCATTCGTACACCTCGGAGCCAGTTTGATCCTTACATGTATTTTTGCAAGTTGAAAGGAGGTGCATATATTTATTTATTGTTTTATGTCGATGACATGTTAGTTGCCTCTATTTCCAGGTCTGCTATAGATGAGTTACGGGCACAACTTTCAAAGGAGTTTGAGATAAAAGATTTGGGTGAGGCTAAGCGCATTTTAGGGATGGAGATCGATAAAGACAAAAGGAAAGACAGAATTTATTTGACACAGGTGATTTATTTGAAGAAGGTTCTACAACGATTTCATGTTAGCATGTGTACAAAGTTAGTTAGTGTACCTTTGAGAGCCCATTTGAAGCTTTCAGCTGATCTTTCACCGAATACAGTTGAAAATAGAGAGTTAATATTGAAGACTCCATATGTGAGCGCGGTTAGGAGCTTGATATACACGATGGTATGTACGAGGCTGGATTTGTCACAAGCGGTGAGCATGGTTTTGAGATATATGCATGATCCAGGAGTAGGTCATTGGGACGCCGTGAGATGGATTTTGAGGTATATTCGAGATACTCTCAATGTTGGTTTAGTTTTTGAGCGGGATACTAGAGATGGGTAGTTTTGCATTTGTTATGATTCGGATTATGCTGGTGATTTGGATAAGCGTTGGTCTACGACGGAGTATGTGTTTACTTTGACCCGTGCACCAGTGTGTTGAAGATGCACTTTACAGTCTACGGTGGCTTTGTCGACGATAGAAGCAGAGTATATGGCGATTACAAAGGCTGTGAAGGAGGCTATTTGGCTTCGAGGACTTTTGGAGGAACTTGGTATATCACAGTGACCTGTCACTATTCATTGTGATAGCATGAATGCTATCTATTTGGTAAAGAATCAGGTTTTTTATGTGAGGACGAAGCACATTGATATTCGTTATCACTTCGTTTAAGATGTTTTTGAAGATAGCGATGTGGAGATTGTGAAGATCCACACGAAGGATAATCCAACAGATATGCTCACTAAGGTGGTTCCGAGTAACAAGTTTGATCACTGTCGAAACCTATTACACATTCGTGATTGTTGAGACCGTTGACGACTATTTGGATGAACTACGGGTGGCTTGATCCCTTAGAAGAGGGGGTACGTAGGCAACCACATTAGTGCAGCCGAGTTTGGAGAGATGATGCATTGGTGCTCATGTTGGTGTCAGTCCAGTTTTGGGAACACTTCGTCGAGGTGGAGAATTATGAAAACGACGAAGGAATTAAGAAAAAAAAACGTGAAGAATAAGTAAGACAAACTCCACCACACCCTGGTGGTGTCTGCCACACCCTGGTGTGGTAAGACAGGCTCCACCATACCCTGGTGGTGTCTGCCACATCTTGGTGTGACATAATCTACCCTGTTTTTCAGGGGTATGGTGTGTGTCACACCAGAGTGTAGCAGACTTGTTTTTAGAATCCCAATCTGTTTGGCATTGTGTTTTGTTATAAATAGAATCACGTTTTTTAGGGTTTCTTAAGGAGAGGATTAGCAGTCTTTTGAGCACTTTGAGAGGGAGATATTGTGAAGGAGTTGAGAGCTTTGGTTAGAGTTATATTTGAGTGATTTTGTGAGTGGTAACCCCTTATATTTCTCCTCCATATAGTGAAATCTTCTCATCCTCTCCCGTGGACGTAGGCAATTGCCGAACCACGTAAATTCCTGTGTTTGGTTTGATTTGTGTTGTATTTTTGTGAATTGCACTCGTATTTGGTTTGGTTTTTTCTTCTCTTATCGCTCACCGACTCGCTTGGTTGTCAAGCACGCTTCCACACGGCGCGCAACACGTATAGGATAATGGCAAAGATGAAAGCACATAATTTACCAGAGTGAGTCTACCACCAATAGAGAGATTTTGCCCCTTCCGTTGAGATAGTTTGAATTTTATTTTCTCTATTAGAGGTTGCCAGTCAAACCCGTTGAGTTTCCCACACCTAAAAGGAAATCCAACATAATTAAAAGTTAAGGATTCTTACTTACAGTTGAGAGCAGATGCCGGTCTATTGCCTCTGTTGATCACTTTTCCAAAATAAACCAAGGGATTTTTAGCATAATTAATGCTCGGACCAAGGAAGTTAAAGATTCTAACATCTAGTTTGATTTATCATAACTCAAATATATTATTCTCTCTGTTAACTTTGTCAATGATATTTTCCAATGCTACAATGCATTTACTAGTTATGGAAGTTAAAAAGAAAATCGATGATTTATAAAGCTCATATATTTTTGTGCCAAACTCACTAGTTCATAGATGCTGTGGAATTTTCCCTTTTCCCCCACTTTAGTGGGTGAAGCACAAACGCTAACAAAATATACAATAATGGGTTTCCTTGGATTAGGATCACATGAATCTCACCTATCCAACAAAAGATGGACCGAATTTTGAACCTTCAATCATCAGCAAGTCTTTTTTGCACGTGAATGAACCGAACCATTATTTATCCCTTTTGATTGAGAACAGCGGGCCACCAGCCCGCCCCCCCCCCCCCCCACCCCACCCCACCCAAAAAAAAAACAAAAAAAAGGTGATGTTTTTGGGGTCATGAAGTGAAGAGATTTGAATGAACGCGGAATTTGAGTCACTTCCCAACTCAATGAGTTCTTTTGTGTTTCTTTGTGGTTCCAATGCTTACCGTTGTTCATTGATAGCACTTTTAAGGATTCGCGTATAGATTGAACTATTTGTATAAGAGTACAGGACAAAATCTTAGCCTTTGCCAACCTCCACTGAGGGGATTCAAGTCATATAGTAAAAGGAAAAATTCCCCAAGGACCCAAAATATAAGATCAATAGGGGGGACAAGTGAGATGTTCCCCTCCTATTGGATAATGAGTTGGTCATCATTAATGATGACCAACTCATTATCCAATAGGAGAAGGACACCTCACTTGTCCCCCATATTGGTCCCATATTTTGGGTCCTTGTAGTAAAACTCATAGTAAAAGTGTTAATTATTACATGATCAGTGGCGGAGCAAAGACCCATAGGACGGTGGGGTCCACCCAAAGTGAAAGGTAGTTCTCAAAAATAATTTAACTCCGAAGGCAAAATTAGAGCAATATTAAAACAATATCTCAATAGGGGGTCAGTTAGTGATACATTAATTTTATGTACACTATAAGGGGTTAGCACCTTATTTTCCATAAATGCTTTATTTATCAGTGGGATTGCTAATGTTCTAAACGAAATTATCTCTCCATTTTCTAAAAAAGAGCCATAGAGAATGTATATTTACAACCTATGTAAAGAACATAGTCTTTTTGTACACATTGAAAATATCAAGAACCCTTTCCGCAGCACATTAATTAACGTATGTGACACCCAAGCGGCGAATAAACACTGATCAGAGAGAGAGAGAGAGAGAATTTGTTTTGTTTGGACAAAGTCTAATTGCTACTGAAAAAGTTAGAAATAACAAGTACTTAACCCCCAAAAAATGATAATTGCAAGTTTCAGGATACAGAGAGAGAAAATTAATCATTTTATCGCTTATAGCCATTAAACTTTCAAATGATGATCTGTATATTTTCATGCAAAATATATGCATTAGGATCTATAATTCTAGATAATCAACTTGAGAATTTAAGCTAATGGTGCTGTAAAAATGTAGTGACATTTTTTCCATTTTCGTTTGACTAAGAAGTAAAACATCAAACACCAACTCTGCCAACTCATGCACACACTCTCGGGGGAGCGCACCAAAAAAAAAGGAAAAAAAAAAGAAAAAGAAAAAGAAAAAGAACAACACCTATGTTCTCAATCGACTAACTTCCCCTATAATTATTCCCAAGCATTTCGGGTTCCGAAGGAACAATAATCGTACGACCCGTACCGGAATTATCCGGATCCGCATTGCTGCAACCCGAACTCTTCTGACCCGTCACGATCAAACATTGGCGACACACTGGACACGATGGCTGAGCCATGAGCCATCTATCAATGCACCTAACATGAAATCCATGGCTACATTTGGGCAGTACCCGAACCCGTTCACCCGAATTCATACCCGATAAGCATATGACGCACTCCGAATCCGACCCATTTAGTTTCAACTCGGGCGAGTACACCGTAATGGGTAGCGCCCGTATCGCTTTTCTCCTCGCTCCGGTGGCAGGTAGACGGGTCCTATGATCCGACTCAGGTTCTAACCCGACCTGACTTGAGCATAGGAGAGCGCATTTAACAATTGAATTTAGTCCAAGGCCGAAGATTAAAGCACATAAAAAGACTGCCAATATCATGACCACGTCGGCGTCGAGGCAGCTAGTGGGTACGGGTGTGTCCGGATCCGATAAGGCTGGCCCGGATTCAGGTGTGTTTAAGTCCATACCCGAGACTAATAGCCTTCTTGAATAGACTTGGTTTAGAGAAGTGGAGGGAATTGTAGAGGACATTGTTGTAGATGAGAATGTTGGAGTGAGAATTCTATGTGAATGACTTGAAGGGAGTATTTATAGAGGGGGAGAGAGTGGAGGAGATTAGTTTAATAAAAAGGTTAAGATGTGTTTTGAGAGTGGAAAAGATTTGAGGGAGTTTGGGGGAAAGGTGTTTTGTGTCCACTAAAATGGAACTTTGACGTTTCAACAAGTGCTCATTGGTATCTTTCTGAAACACTACTGAAACTTATTCATGTAATACTGCAGTTATATTGACTATACATTCAATTCTTTATACTGTTTTTGAGGTGTATTTTTTTTAGAAGAAAGCTTCTTTCGTTATTCTCTTTTGATAAAACTGGGGTTATATTATCAAATTTTTTTTTCTCGAACAACCAAGAATTTACCTTCCCCCGACCGCCCCCCCCGGGTTTTTTATTTCTAAAACAGAATATACCCCATTTGAGGAAATATTGATTAGTAACAATAAGAAACAAAGCTCACGTGCATCATATTTTACATCGATCACATACTAACTGTTGATTAAATGTTAATTATAGCTAATTAATATCTAAGCACTATCGGGTGGAGTCTCCACTATCCATGCAAGTTCGCAACCCCTCTCTCTCTCTCTCTAGGTCCCCAACCATTTTTGACGCGCGAGGGAGTGCCACGTGTAATATGACATTCCAAAGTTGAATCCATTTGCCACGTGTTGAAAGCGGAACAATAGGGCGGGTACTTTACTTCGATCGGTAGAGATTCTCTTAAAAGAACTGGCAAATAATAGACCCTTGGTGGGAGTTTGCTTCTTTTAATTTTATAGTGGACGCACGTTTTAATTTACTTCTTGTAATGGCAGTCGATGAAGTCTCTAGGAAATGATCTAATAGAAAAAGTTGAGCCTGTACATGAGTACGGAGTTATTTAGTAGATTTCAACAGAGAGAAACCACATTGAGTTTGGGCATTTTTTTTCTAGATCATCACACTATTACAAATTTCGATCTCGGAGAACTTGAGATCAAGCCACAAAGTCGCAAGATGAAGAAGAAGAACACCCTTGAAGAGGGTTTCATGACATTCGCAAGTTAAGTGGGTTATTTGAGAAATGCCCACGCTTGGGGATGCTTCACAAAATTCCCCTTAAGTAAGAATGTAAGAGTATGTTTGGTAAACCTTTAAAACTAGAGCACGAATGAATCTGGTCCAGTTTTAAATAGGGTTGTCCATTCGGGCGCCCAAAGGGCCCGGGCCCGACCCGGCAGCGCCGGCCCTAGGCCTGGCTGCCTGACCCGTGTTCGTAATTTGGGCTCCAAGCCTGGGGCCCTGGCGCGATACGTGTCTTGGTGAAGCTAGGGCCTAACCCGGGTTATATATTATATTATATAATATATATATATATATATTATATATAGTGATATATATATATATTATTATATATATATAGTATATATATATATTATTATGATATATATATATAATATATAGTATATATTATATATTAAGAAATTATGGAGAACCTGGTACCAAGTTTTCCATTGAACTTGGTAGGTGAGGTGCGCTAAATCCTGGCCCACTACATCACGCCTCGGAAAGAGGGCTGAGATCACTATTCACATACTTCCAATAAATAGCGGCTTCAATCTCCAAGCGCTGTGATGTAGGGGCCAGCATTAGGCCCACCTCACTACCAAGCCCTTGCAATGAAAAGAACTTGTTACCAAGGAAGGGCTTCTCCATATATATAATATATGGAAATATTTTCCTAAGGCTGACATCTTAAATTGCACCTAAGCGACGCCGGGTCTTTAAAAATCACATCATTCCCTGATTTTTTTGGAGCGAGTGCCGACCTCCGCCGTTAAAACTTGATCTATACGCTCACTTAACCTAAACACACAATTTTGGAGCTGAAACCGGTCATGTTTTGACCCTTCATCCACTCGACGCAGTTTTAACGGTTGTCGAGATGAATAGAACTTTTGCACGGCTCAACGAAGGCCTGTCAAAACACGACGGGGTTCAGCCTCAAAATTTTGATGTTGTTTGGCGCGTTATAAAGAACGCTCCGTAGATAAGTTTAGATGGAGCCGGCATCACAAAAAAAAATTTAGGGGAAAATTGATGTGCATTTTATGCTATTGGCGTCCTTAGCATGGCGAATCTAAGGTGCGACCTTTAGGAAAACATTACCTTGATATATATATATATATATATATATATATATATATATATATATATATATATATATATATTATACTATGGTCATTAATGTGTATATATGTGTTTGTGTGGGTGTTATAAGTATATTTATATGTGTATATCATAGAATTACAGTTATATAAGTATATATAAGCGCATAAGTATAATTATATAAAAGTATATCATATAAGTAAACTATACAACTGTACTTAATAAGCATAATGTAAGTATGTAATAAATACATATATAATATATATTTATGTGATTCTCTCTCTCTCTCTCTCTCTCTCTCTCTCTCTCAAGTTATAACTTATAAGTGTTAGGTCTCATGTTTATGAGCGTATTGTCTAATATGATTTTGATGATTAACAAACAATTCCTAACATCATTTTTGAGTATTTGCATTTGCTTGTTAGGTATCCTACACAAACATCCTCTGGTTGGAGGTTGGTTAGAATTGCGTGTTAACGATGACATCCTATTAGAGGTTGGCAGAATTAGAATGAAGCACACTATCGCTTCATCCCACTATCAAGATCGATCTTCATGAAGAATCGTTAGCTTGATATAGTGATTATTAGTTTTAGGTGTTTATACTCTATGTGTTTATACTTAGAGCTCAAATCATACAAATACACATTGTTTCATGTTTATTGTATTTGGGAATATAATGTGTTTTTGGATTATTGACTTAAATAATACTATTTTATATCTTTTCTAAAGTCTATTAATTTATTTAAAAGTATTTCAAAACTTATTTGAAGAAATTTTATCAAAATCAAATATTTAACAAACTCGTAATTTTGACTATTTTGCAAAACAACGAGTTTTCACAAATACGAAGTGCTATTTTAGAAATTCTTCTTCTAACATGTTTATTTTCATTTTTATAAATATTTCCCCAAGTTTTACTATTTTTGGAGTTGAATTACTATTTTAAATTGAATTTAGAAAATTAACTTTTTAATAAATTCAAGTATCTGCTATGTATCAGATTTTGATCGACCGAACAGTCAAACCGGTCGATTGGCCAAAAGTAGTTAATTTTTTCAGCATTGTTTATTTTCAGTCTATCAGTCGACTAACCTCTACAAGCCAGTCGACCAAACATAGTGTTTCTAGTCGACCGCTTGTTTAAACCAGTCGACTTGCCAGAAGCAGTTTTTATAGTATTTTGTTTTTCAGTCGATCAGTCGACTGACCATATTTTTCAGTCGACTAATCAATATCTATTTCATTGTAACGGCTAGTTTTTGGCAGTTTTGTTTGAGAGGCTATAAATAGCTCTCAAGACTTATTTTTTCTAGAAGAGTTTTTACAAGAAGTTTTTGGCCAGTTTTGCTGCATGTTTTTGAAGCTTAAGTGTGTTTGTTTATGTGATAAAAGCTTCACAAAGAGAATGATTTCAATTTTATTCTTGAGGTGTTCATCATTATATCTCTTACTCTCTTTGTTTTGGAGAAGTTTTCTAAACTCTTTGTCTAGCTAATTAATATTTTGATTCTCATATATTTATGCTAGATTGCTCTGAGTTTGATTTTATTTTACTCATTGATTACACCCACCCACTTGAGCTTTAGTATTTTACATTTAGTATATTTGGGTTGTGAGAGTGTATTCATTGAGAGAGTTTTACAATTCGTTCTTACTTGTTTGGAGAACAAAATCTTCGTTCACACTTATTTGTTAAACATGTTGTAATACACAAGAGCACTTAAAGGAGTGGTTAGAAGAGACCGGGGTTAATTCCAATAGGAGTGAATTAGTTGTAAAACCTAGGGAAAGGTTATAATTTCAAACACTTGAGAAATGTGACACGGGTAGTCCAACACTTAGAGGAGTGTGGCTTGTGTGACTGACATCGTGTATGGTAAAAATTATCAGTGATCTTTGAAAAGCGTTGTGTAGAATTTTTGATTGATAGTGGGGATCTCCTCGAGGTGAAGAGCGGAGACGTAGGTCGAGGGTTGACCGAACTCTATGATCATATCGTTTGTTGCGATTGTCTTTTGCGCACTATTATTCTTTATATCTTGTGCTTGTGTTTATATCATCTATTGTCTTATTGTTTATCATTGCATACCTTTTTATATATCAAATTACTAAGATATTGAGTTATAAGTTTTAATTTGGCATCATAATCGGATTAGATTAGCAATTATCCTATTCACCCCCCTCTAGGGTACTTTCATTTGGTATCAGAGTGTGGTACTCTTAATTTGTGGCTTAACCGCCTAGAGTTAAAGATCCTTATTATTATATTTTGCTAATCTAATTTTGTGATTTTTCTTACTTGCATCATTATCATGGATATACACGGTGCACCTAGTTTAGGCTATGCTATAAATATTGCTCCTTCATTCAGTGATTTCTCTTATGCTCAATGGATGTTCAGATTTAAACTATTTGTTAGATCTAAACATATCGATTTATAGGAAGTAATTGATTATGTTTATGTTGTGCTCACGTTGCAGAAATCCAAGTGGAGCAATGATGATAAGAGGATGTTTATTTTGAACAAGCTCTTGTTAGAATTTTTGCGTAATGCTTTTGATCCATCTATATCTAACAAACTTGCTTATTTTGATAGTGCTTACATATTATGGAAATATATATAAAGGCACATCATGACAACTTGGAGAAAATTTAATGCATTCTGGTGGATTCCACTTCAAATGAGATTGGAGCATCATTGTGCACACGGCCACAAGGCGATTGCCCTAGTGAGGTATGCGAGTCTGAATCCGAAAGTGAATTATCTATAGATGAGCTCGCATGTGCATATAAAAAATTAATGAATGTTTACAACAAATTGCATTATAA